CTCTCTCTCTCTCTCTCTCTCACACACGCACACACGCACAGCCGTCCTCTGGGACAGGAGCCATTCCGACCAGCAGGATTACTGTTCTTTTACTTTGAATGATTGTATAGTTGTAAACTGTTCTGAGACTTTATAGAAGCATTTTGAAGAAGTCACTAATAAATAATAAACTCAGCAGCGTCAGCTGTTTCTCAGAGGGACCAAAGACCCAGAGCGGTCGAAGGCTGCGGCGGCCCTTTTCTTTCTCCGGCATGTTCAAAAGGCAGCTGGGCGCCCCCGTCTCTGGGATTGCTGCGCCAAGCAGAGGGCAGACTAGAGAGCCTGGAGGAGCCCTTCCAATTCTGTACGTTTAGTAAACCGGCCGAGACGCATCTCTTTCCGTCTTGCCCCTCCTGACATCAGTGACTGAAATGCATTTTAGCAGCCTCTGTGAATTTCTAGCAGGGATGCAATGAAGACCTCTATTGCGATCTACTGCGATAGGAGGGGGATCCTCCGGGGTGGGGGTGGGCTGCTCTGCCTCTGGCAGGGTGGGTGGATATCCATACTGGTACTTTAGCCACAGCACCAAACTGGCTGGCTGGAATTGCTTTTAGGGGATGTAAACACAACCATGCAATCAAAGGGGTGCAGACAGGCCACACCTTGGATAACCGAGAGTGGGGAGAAATGGCTCACACGTGTAGGGGGAACGTTTGTGGGGGATCGTCTTCCCGCTCTCTGGGCAGAGAAATTGGGCCTTTGTGGCGGCCGTGGCCCTGGGGAATCTCTCGGGGGACTTCATGATCTCGCCTTGGAGTTGGGTTGAAGTTTTAGCTGTCTACCTTTCTAGACCAGTGACAAAGAAGAGTGTGCCATTTATACTGATGGTTGTGATAACTGTAGCATGTTTCATTCATTAGAATCACTATTGATGATTGTTACATTGTCATTTTCTAAAGATGCTTACAGTTGTTGAGTTTGGGTTATATCATTAATCGTGTTACTACATTTGCTTTGGAAAGAGGATTGCTCACACCTAAATAAAACAGAGTTGGTTCCTCTTCATGTGCTTTTCTTTAATTAAAGAAACAAAGAAGAACCTCAGCTCCGCTTATTGCCAAAGCAGCGGGAAGGGACAGAATATGCTGTTCAGGAGAAGATCTTATGCAATCGCACACCCAGAAGATCCCTCTGGTGCCCCAGTTTCATAGGCTGTTTTTGTTTTTTGGCCTCCACAAGCTTGGACTTGAGCCACAGCACATCCTGTTTTTCTCCCCTCTCCTTGTGCCTCCTTTTGGAGGCTACTTTTTCAAACCATCCTGCAAAGCTGCTCTGCAAGATTAAAGGTAAGACTATAGAAGCTACTGAAAAGACTGTGGGTTGGTGGAGCCTGGGCAGGGCTGGAGAAGAACCAGAAGTTTCAAAGCGGGATTTTTTAATGTGGGTGAGGAGCGACCTAAAACAGATTCACAGGGGTTCAAGAGCCCTAATCAAATCATGAACCAGGGTCTGATGTCTTAATTTGGATGGCATTGTAAAAGACTTGAGCTGTGACTAGCATTTCCGTTTGGGCAGAAACTGGCTGAAGAGGTTTAACATTTACTTACAAACAGGAACTTTTTACTCCCAGGTATGGAATCTGTGAGCCTGAATACTGGCTTTGTTCTTAGTGCTGCTTAAACAATTCACAAAACAGTATTATTATATGTCAAATTAAGACAAGCTATTACAGTACAGCTTTTGCTTGGGTGCTTCTAAGATTAGGATCCATAATACAATAATTCTGTTGATGAGATGTGGATGGGTTCGGCATGCAAGTGTTTGTTTTCTGCATCTCTCCATATTTATTGTCCTTCTGTCACTGATACGTGAGTCGATTCCTTTGGCAATATGGCAGCGTCTTTCAGATAATGCAGTTTAGAGGAATAAGTTTTCTGTCCTGCCATGATAACTTGTTTAACACAAAACATTACAGAAGCCCAAGAAAGCATTTATAATATTGGCACATAGCTATAGAATTTGTAGTCATACATTTGTTTTCCTTATTTTTATACTTTGTAATACATCATTCAATTATGTATGGAAATGTTTGTTTAAAATTCAGGAAATGTTATGCATTTGGTTAAATATTTTTTTAAAATCCTCATTTTTCAAATCATTGTTTCCTGGGCAGGCAGCTCAAAGAGGCACCTGAGTTTCATGTTCAACCTGGGTCTTTTTGAGGGAGTTACAGGGTCAGTTACCTTGGGCTCCATAGCTGAAGAAGACCCATCCAAAGGATGGTCAGGTATTTGAAATAATCAGATGAGTTAACATTTTTTTCATCTAAGGTGGTAAAATGAATTAGTTAAAATCTAACTAATATTTATTTTAATATTTTACCTTTCCAATTTACTTCTGGGCCATTGATTTCAGTGGTCAAGAAACAACAGGGAACAATACATTGATGTAGGATGAAATGCAAAGAAAGTGTTTGGGGGGTGTTTCTGACCCTTTGACTCCCCAAGTCAAAGAGACTGGGCAACTTCTTTCTTCTAAATGTCTGGAGACAGAATGTCATGTTGTGGCCATTAAAATGTTGGGGAGACCTAGTTGTACGTCCCACCTTAGCTAGGAAATGTACTGGGTGGAAGTAATACGTTGAATCATAAATCTAAGGAAATGAGCTGTATTGTGCCATAAACACACTGTTGAATTAATACAGTTACTAGATTTGTGAGGTAACAGACCTGCTTCAATGTTGCATGAATTGAACAGCTACTGAATGGCTGTTTTCTTGCTGCCATCCTGGGGTCCGTCCCCCCCCCCCCAGCCACAGGTCAGAAAAGAAGCAGAGCAGTGAGGAGAAAGGGGCTGCAGAAGAAGCCCCACCAACTCGTTCCTCACCCTTTCCTCCCCATCTAGCTACCCAGCCCAAGGAATGGGTAGGAAGGACCCCCAGCCCCCTCCTCCCAGGCTACTGGAAAACAGCTGAGCAGTGAGTCAGAAGGGGTAGAAGGTCTCAAGGGCGAGAGTTCAAGGGAGCCTGGCACGTCCAGCATATTTCATCCCCAGGCCAGAAGTCTTCCACCACTTTTCTTCTGAAATATTATCAGCCATATCAAAATGGTTGAATTCTTAATAATAGTAACAATAATGATTATAATACTTCCATGATTCCTAGTTAGAACTGATAATACCCAGTCTAAAGCCTGTGATAGTCCCCAGATGAATACTGTGGATCACAATGATGATGATGGATCTTTTCCTGCTTCTTGGCAGCCAGTTACAAGAGATGAAACCACTGGAAGAAAAGGTCGTCTTGAACATTGGGGGCCTCCGATATGAGACCTATGCCAGCACCCTCCAGGCTTTCCCTGGAACCAAGCTATGCCACCTGACGGAGCCCCAGGCAGCCACCACCTTTGACTACGACCCAGACACCAAGGAGTTCTTCTTTGACAGAAGTCCCTGCCTCTTTGAGGAGGTGCTCAACTACTACAGGACCAAAGAGCTTCACTGCCCTGACTTGACCTGCAAGTCGGTCCTGGACGAGGAACTGGCCTTCTGGGGGCTCAGCAATACCCCCCTGTCACCCTGCTGCTGGCAGAAATTGACCATCACTGAGGGACAAAGGGAAGAGTACGGTATCTGGGAGGAAGATCAAGATGTTGCTGGGCTCCTGGACCAGGCAGAGAGGAACCAGCGCACGTGGAGGGGCCGATGGCAGACCAGAATCTGGACTGTGTTTGAAAAGCCGTTCTCCAGTTTAAGCGCAAAGGTCTACAAGGGGGTTTGGGGAGGGCAACATTTGCTCCTTGTGGAAGGGTGCAGTCTTGTCTTTTGGTTTTCTTAGCCTCCCAGGGCTGAGACTGAGGCAGGACTAAGGGAATCCACCCTTTTCTTAGCACAAAGAGGCTGGGTTATTCTTTCAGAGCTGTGCTGAGCCCTTGGCCTGTAACGGTATGTGAGAAAGACCTTGAGAGATGGGGTGAAGAGATGCTGCCTAGGGAGCAGTCAGATAAGAGGGCACAGCCCGCAGCTGCATAACAGACGGAGAAACTCAGAGAGGAATCTCCCCAACTTCTCAGGCTGTAAAGGAGAGGCAGGAGAATCATACTTTCAGACTTGCAAGAGTCTGTTAATGTAGCCTAACAATAAAGTAGAAGTAGCTCATCTGGTCATGTTTCCTGTCTGGTCTCCCTGGGAAGGCCGACATGGCCTGCCTGCAGTGTGAGTCCCATGGCAGCCGGAAGGCACCCATTTTGTGTGGCTGAGTCTCTGGGCCCTTGAAGACCTGCAGGACACGCTCAGGTTCATCTGAAGGGCAATTTATTCATATAGACACCCATTTCTCTCATTTTTTAAAAATATACATAATAAGAAAGTTCCATTCAGGATTGTCGTGATGGTGAGCATAGTACACCAAGTATAAATCTTGCTGCTTGTTATGAGTCCAATAGTAGTAATACTAAGCAATTTGATTAGCTCACCGTGGGGTGAAAGTCAACCTATTTAGGATGCAGTACTGAAACACTCTTCAACCAACCACCTCGAGGTCCTTTCTATTTCAGACAAAGCTGGCCACAGATGTTCTTTTGCAATTCTCCCCCAAACTTGTGAGCAGAGAAATTGGGTGGACATTTTTTCTGAATTTCTCTAGGGGAAGGAGAAATTCTCCAGGGAGTGCCTGGGAGGAGCTCCCTCCCAAGGTCATTCGTGGAAATCAATGGAAATGGGGGAGGCCGGATGCTAGAGCTACGACTGCACACCAAGAGGCCGGATATTCAGACACACCCCTGGGCCACCTGGTCACTAGATATGTACAGGAGCACCACATTCTGACCCGGAGGATTTCTCTGAAATTCTCTTTTCTTTGGAATAATTTTTTTTCTAAAGCAGACTGAGATTGGATAAGAACTCATTTTAAAAAATGAGGGGATATTTCCCCCATGGTTCTCGTTTCAGAGAGTTTCCTCCCTATGTCCTGAATTAAGACAGGTGAATTGTGTGCTAAAAGTCAAGCGTCTTTAACTCAGATCATTTGCACAGCTGGCATTCTGCACAGGGTATTTGCACAGCCATCACAGAGTAGTGAAGGAGCAAAATGGGGTCCTGTCATGATACTCAGGAATGATTAGACTGATCCAACTCTCTCTCTCCCCCACAGGGCCTGGCTGTAGTGTCTCTGCTCTTCAATATAGGGATATGCATCCTTTTTATTGCCAAAGCTTACGAACAAACTTCTCTTCTTTACATCACAGAAAACAAAAGCAATTTTACTGCCTTTCATGCTGAAGTTGACTCTTTTTACATACATTTGCCTTATCTCCTTTACTTGGAACTTTTCTGCGTCCTCTGGTTCGTGCTTGAATTTTTTCTGCGACTCATATCCTGCCCAAATAAGAAGAAATTCTTCCAAAGCCCACTGAACGTGGCCGATTTCCTTTCCCTCTTCCCCATTTTCATTGAAGTAAACAATCAGCATTTTTTACCCTGGTTGGACTTTTTCCGTGCCCTGTATTTCTTCAAACTCTTGAAGGTTCTCAAGCTGGTGGAGACCCCTGTGATGCTGAGAGTGCTCTCCTATACTTTCAGGGCCATCATCAGAGAGATCTTCCTCCTCCTCCTGATTTTTGTCTTTGAAATCCTTTTCTTTGGTTCTCTCTGTTATTTTGGAGACTTAGTTGAAGATAATCCAGAAACATATTTTAGTGACATTGGTTCATCTTTCTGGTGGGCAGTGATCACCTTGACTACTGTAGGTTATGGAGATGTTTTTCCCGTCTCTACAGTTAGTAAACTGATTGGAGCCTGCACAGCATTATGTGGTGTACTAACCATTATCACCCCAATTCCCTTCTTTTTTATCAAATTCAAGGGTTATTATGATGCTGCCATGATCAAAGAGAAGAGAAAGAGTAAAAAGAAACAAGTACTCACCTTGCCATCATGATGAATGGGCAGGATGCTTCCAATGTTTCATCAGAAAAGGACAACAGCCTTCCTACGTCTGCTCATTCCATATTGCACTTTATGTCTTCTCCTGCAACGTGTGTCTTTCTATCTGAATGGTTAATGTTTTTATAGAGCCACTCTCCATCTGCCTACATTCCCGGAAGTTCACCGCAGTGTACATGACCATCCTCATGAAAGTCTTATCTTTAAAACATTTCAAAGTGACTTTGTAAGGTTTCTTGCTTTCAGCATAGCTGGCAGGTAGCAGTCTCACTCCCACTATGGGCACTCATAGCCCAGCTTACCGATTTGGAGCCTATCAAAAGTGTTCAATCACGGCTCCTTCCTCTCTAGCAAGCGTACCTATGGGCTGAGGACGAATGGAAAGTGAAGTCATGCGGCAGACACCCGTATAGGGAAGGCTGACATGGGTTTAGCCGCAACCGACAGAGTACTCTCCAGGCGATAGGGCATATATTATGTGTCTGTGAGTTTGTGTTCGAGACAAAGGTTTTAAGCATTGCATTATTGGTTCTTTTGGATTCCTCCTAATGCACCAATAAATTCACCTAGGCTTTTCATACACCTCTTCTACAGCTTGCTTTAGGTTTGTCTTTGCTTGTTTTTTGCAAATTAGAGGACCATCAATAATGTTTGAAGAATGTTGTATCTTCTTTCGAAGCAAGAAAATCTTATCAATATTATACATTACACTTACATTAATCGGCATTCTTGAACATCTTTTTAAAAAACTCTGGGAACCTCTGGGAATCTCTTTGGAGCACTTCGTGGCAGAGAATTCCCATTTCAGCAGGTTACCAAAAATTGCCCATGCAGTTGCCGGGGGCGGTATAACAGGGTGTCTGCAGGGAGGTGAAAAAAGTCAAGACGGTGTCCACAGCCATGAGACCATCACGACATGTAAAAAAGGATGAGGCTTTAATGACATGGTTGTGGTTGCTATGCTGACTTTTTTGACACACACACACACACCCCACCAGTGTGGACAAACCTGTAGTGTACTAAAATACAAATACTAGAATTATACTATAGCAACGGAAACCTTTCTAGATAGCTTGCAAACATACTGATAAAGTCCAATTAAGCAATCCTTTGAGACAATTTTTTAATGAAGAAATTGGGATAATTATTCAGCGACCTTCACAATGGATAGCCTGCTGATCATTTATTGTCCTTAAGCCATATTAACAGTTCCTACTGTTTCATTCCACATTTTCTATGTAATTTTCAGTTTTTAGTTTTTGTAATTTGTCTCTTTAGTAAAAAAAAGCATATGAAGAGGAGCTACTGTATCTGTATTTTACTTATGTATCTCAGCACATGACTCGCCCTGTTCCCAGTGCCACGACCACCACAAAGACCCAGTTTCTCTGCCCAGAGAGGTGGAAGGCTTTCCCCCACAAAGGCCTACCTGCATGACCCATTCCGCCCCACTGTCTGTTATTCAAGGCACGGCCTGTCTGTGCCTCTTTGGGTGCAGTGTTGTTATTTGAGTTCCCTAAAAGCAGTTCCAGCCAGCCAGTTTGGTGTCGTGGCTGAAGAGCATTGTTTTAGTACATGGTTTTGTACCTTGTGTGTGCGTTTCACATAATGTATAACATCCATTTAATAGTGCATTTTATCTTACATTATGTTTAAAACTTTAACTTGCTTTTTGCCCTTTAAAGAGCACAGCATTCCCCCACCCCATTTTCCTTTGGTTTTCTTTTGCCCTGAGGCAGCAGCCGATTAGATACCTGACTTCTTTGAATAAACAAACCATAAATTAGCTTAGGACCAGGCAGAGAAGGTGCCAAGAGAGAGACCCTGGATTTCAAAGAGGAACAAAGAGACAAGAAAGGACCGACATGGGGTGTTTCCTTGGTAACAAGAAGAAGAAAGATGAACTCATTCTCACCTCCTTAGGACCTACCTTTACTCCCCCCCAGACCATCCCAAAAATCCCTTGTATGGGCAGGAGAGGATGCACGATCTGATTTGAATTTTTTTACACCTGTACCTTTCTATAAAACCTCTGATGTTTGCTTTGCAAGGTGTGGTTTCTTTCAACATTCCTTGCCACGATGTTGATTGATCCAACCAGATGCGTATTGATCAGTAAATATCTGTAAATTGTTACAGAAGTCTCGTCTCAAGTTTTTGTTTGGCTCTCTGAAACTTGGGTAACATAGAGTGCCTTACATTGCTAAGACGCCAGACTAGAAACTGGGAGGCCGTGAGTTCTGGTCCTGCCTTAGGCATGAAGCCAGCTGGGTGACCTTGGTCCAGTCCCTCTCTGCCAGCCCTAGGAAGGAGGCAAGGGCAAACTACATGCAAACCTCTGCGGGACCGGTCCAGGCAGTTGCCAGGAGTCAAGATTGACTGGAAAGCAGCAAAAGAAAAAAGGCATTTGGTTTAATAGATAGGAAGGTGAAACAGAGGGATTTGCGTTAGTTCCACAAAGTCACCTTAACTCTTGAGAGATGCGTTAAAAGGGCAGATGTCTCATGGGGCAGGCAGCCTTTCTGCAGCGAGGCTTTTGAAGTTTGGTTCAGCCACTGGGGGCTGCTGAGGATGATCTGCAACAGCAACAGAGGAGGCAAGGCCAAGATTTTGGGTCTGTCAGGAGGCCTTGGGAGATTTTATCTGGGAAAAAGTGGCCTTTCACTCTCTCTCAAATGACATCTTTTAAATCACATTTAAGGTGATCTACAATTTGGAGGTCAATGTTTTAAAATGTTGGTCTCTTAAGTTCACTACGTGCTGGGAATCAAGCGTTCTCCATCTGAGAACTGTAACATGTGAAGCTGGGATGGGGAACCTGAGATACCTCAAACTCTGCAGCCGAACTTTCCAGCATCCTCCACTATTTTAATCATCATCAGCAACTGTGATGCAACAACAGCTGGCGAAAAAGCCACAATTTCCCAACCTCACACAAAGATGATTCACTACTACAAGCAGGAAAGGAGGCTGTACAGAATGACATTTTTGCTTTCCGAGTGTATTTTATTCTTCTATTTAACTTTGCGAATGCCTGCTGTTAATGTCTGCTGCACAAATCTCAGGGCCAGATCTAGCAGGATGAGAACTATGTGAAGCATATTTACTATGCGTACACATGTATGTCTTTTACATGAATGGTAGCCTCAGAATCATGGGGAAAAGGAGAGAGAATCGAATTCTAACTGCTCTTGCCACAATGTTCCCCAAAATTGCTTTTCTGACCTTGCTGTTTTGGGGGCATCAAAGTGCTTTTGAAGAACACCACACAAAAAATAAATAAAATAATAAAGATTTGTTGCAGCATAAGAAGAAACTGTTGGGAAAATCAATCAATATTGGATGACTTCTGGAGGTTATCAGTGTCTCCCTGGATACCAGTATTTTTTGTATTACAGAGTATTCTGCTGATGTCTACATGGCCACACCACCCTCTTCTCCAAAGTAAAAAGAGTTTGGGGGTGGAGGGGTGAGTAGGAGAGCCTTATGTATGTTTTCTGTTCCAGATAGAGAGGGCGAAGGGGGGGGGGGGAAGGACAGGGGAACGGACAAACAAAAGAAGAGGAAACACAAGATGCAAACATATCTAAGATCCATAATGCGAAGAAGAGCAGCTCTAAACAGGACAACTAAAAGAGAGAAAGAAAATTCAAAAACGAAGTTGGTATGTTAGAGAAGTGAGCTAAAAAACACAGCCAAAGTGACAGGCAAATGCAAAGGGAAGCACTTGGGGGGAAAAATCCAGTGGGTTAAGCATTGACCGAGCATTTATGAAGAAGATCTTGGGATCTCTGGGGCAGCTCAGGGGTTCATGGCCTCCATGGCAACCTTAGATCTGTTCCAGGTCATTGATGGCCTGGCCTATACCGGAGACCGTATGTTAGATCTGGTTTTTGTCTTGGGGCAGTTGAGATGTGATCTGGCAGTGGAGGACATTAACGTCAGTCTGTTGGTGTGGACAGATCACTCTCTGGTTGCCTTTTGGCTCACAGGTGTCGCCCCTCCCTGCAGGTGTGTTTGACGGCCTGCTGCAGGCAAGTGATGGACCCAGTGGGGTTCCAGAGACAGCTTGGGGTTTTCCCTGAGGGTCTGGTGGGCGGTTCAGCTCAGGCCCTAGTTGCTGCCTGGAATGGGCCTTTGGCTGCAGCCTCGGATATTATCACTCCTATGCGACCTCTCCCTGTACACCGATCCCGGGGTGCCCCCTAGTTTAGGTAAATGGGAGATGAAGCACTAGAAGAGATGCCTGGAGCACCGTTGGAGGAAGACGTGAAGAACCCATATTTCCTTGTGGCAATAAGGGCAGCAAAACATCAATATTTCTCTGTCCTTATTGCATCCAGCAGCTCTGTTTAGGGTAGCCTAGCCCTTGTTGGGTAGGGAGGGCCCTCCAGAACATCTGCTCGACTGTTGTGAGGATTTTTCAGGCTATCTGATGGATAAAGTCACTCAGATTCACCCTGCCTTGGACTCTGACTGAGCAGAGCAGGCTGAGGTGCTTGGGGCAAGGTCTGGGAGCGTGATCTGGGATGTGAGTTCGAGCTGGTGACTCGTAAGGAAGTGGGCAGGGTTCTCTGTGCTGTCAGCTCAGCCATCCAGGGTCATAAAAGCAGCAAGGAGGTGACCCCCAGGCTGTGGTGTCGGCCTCTCTGGAGCAGGGGGTGGTAGCTCCTGCCTTCAAAGCGGTGGTGGTGTGCCCCTTTCTCAAGAGGCCATTCGTGGACCCAACAGTCTTCAACAACTACCGATCGGTCTCCAACCTTCCCTTTTGGGGGAAGGTTGTGGAGAAGGTAAGTGGTCTGCAGCTGATGAGAACCATGGAGGAAATGGATTATCTAGACCCATTTCGGTTGGGTTTCAGGCCGGGATGTAGTGCTGAGACAGCCTTGGTGGTGCTTGTTGATGACCTGTGGTGGAGCTGGGATGGCAGAGGTTTAGCCATCCTTGTACTCCTTAATCTCTTGGTGGCTTTCAGTAGTCAACCACAGTATCTGTAAGAACCGTGGTACTCAGTTCCCAACGAAAACAAGTCTCATTGAAACCAATGCAGGTTCAAAGGAAAGTTCATTTACTGGAAAGTAGTAACAGCTCTAGAGCATAGCTGGAACTGAGTCCCATGTGTGCCAAAACTTAGTTTTACCTCACTCCACTTCACCCCCCCCCTTCAGTCTTGGAATCTCTCTTGTGCATGTCGAAGATGTTCTCAGGTTCTCATGTTGGGACGGCCTTGGGCATTCCTGAGAGCCAGATAACAGCCCCTCATTCCCATTCTTCCCCGCTTCCTCCCTCTCTCTGTAACGGCAGAAGTGAAGCAAGCAAACTGGCGGCACAAGTGACTGATTGCGAGGGTTCTGACAGTATCCTTCTGAGCCAGCTCCATTTTACGGGGGTTCCCTTCCTTTCACTGTGGCCAGTTCCAGTCGTTGTTTGGGGGAGAGAAATAGTTCCCCCGGCCCCTCCCTTGTGGGGTGCTGCTGGGTTCTACTCTCTCTCCCCTCCTTTGCAACATCTACATGGAACCGCTGGGTGAGGTCACTATGCTGATGATACCCAATTATATCTTCTGTCTCTCGGCCAGCAAGTGAGGCTGTTGGGCTTCTGTCCCAGTGCCTGGAGGCTGTGCAGCTCTGGATGGGGAGGAACATCTCCAGCTCAATCCTACCAATACCAAGTGGCTGTGGGTGTTTGGACCACCCAGATCTGGGGATATGCCATCTTCGACCTTGGATGGGGTTCCACTTTCCCATTCAAGGGTGGTGCGCAATCTGGGGCCTTCCTGGACTCACAGCTCCTGCCTGAACAGCAGGTGTCAGCTGTGGCCAGGAAGACCTCTGCTCCATTTTCACCCTTTCCTAGATGGGGGGAGGCTCCACTCATGCCCTGGTCACCTCATAGCCTGACTACTGCAATGTGCCCCTTAAAGAGCACTTGAAAGCTTCAACACGCTTGCCATCTTTTATCTTTATTTTTTACGTTTGATTGTGATTTCTTTGATTGTTGTGAGCCACCCAGAGTTGTTGAGAGTAGAGTGCCATAAAAGTTTAATAAATTATTATTACTATAATTATTGCTGCTAATATCTTACAGGTAGTCCTTGACTTATGACCATTCGTTCAGCAACTGTTGGAAGTTATGACGGCACTGAACAAAGGGACTTATGACCTGTGCCCGAAGTTATGGCCATTGCAGCACCCCCACAGTCACATGATCAAAATTTGGGTGCTTGGCAGCCCGTCGGCACTTACGACCACAGGGGCACTTCAATTTCCCCCACCCACCTATCTCCCCCCATCTCTGCCCTTTTGGGTGCCCTGCACTCCGTCACATATCCTTGCTGTCCCACACCACTGCTGCCACTGCCCTCCACTGCCCGCAACTAACCTCTGCTGTCTTCTTCCTCCTGCTGCTGCCCCGGGATCCAGGTGCTAGGTGAGGGTACAGCCCTGGGACGCACACGGTGAGCATGGCAGGGCATCAGAATCTCATCTGCCAAAGGGAGCTTGCCAGGCCTGGCCGGGGAGGAGGCAGCGGGACAGTGAGCTGCAGGGCTCTGTTGCTGGGCAAGGCGGCTCCCCAGGTGAAGGTGGGGGCTGTGTGGGAGGCACTGTTTGGGGGGGTGGCAAAACTGGAGGAAGCGGTGGGACACAGGCTTCCCGGAGGCACAGCACGCACCCTGCAACTCGTGTTGGAAGCGCTCTTGGAACGGTTGGTGAGGCTTTGCAGGAAGCGCTTCCTGGGCGAGGCTTTGCGTGCGCTCCTGGGCTGGGCTGGAGCTGGGCCTTGCACTGCGCCGCAGCTCAGGGGCTGCTTTCTGCTTCTTCTCTGTTTTTTTTTTGCAGGGCGAAGCCCGGCCTGGCCCAGCCCAGCCCCGCCCAGCAGCCCAGGGTCGGGCACG